TTTAGCTCTATATTTTTTACACAGAGAATTGTTTTCGTTATTATATGCTAAGAATATGAAAAGTAGATTTCAATTAATATTTTAAGAACAAATTGTACACATTCACTCAATAGACTTTGCAAAAAAAAAAAAAAAAAAAAAAAAAAAAAAAAAAATTATTGAAGAAGTCAAAATAAAATTTACATTACCTTAAAATCGCATATTTCGATAAATACCTCAAAATTTACATCACTGCCCCAACTTTTTCTTTCATTATTTTGAACTACATGGTATACTCTCAACCAATCAGCATTAAAGCCATAAAAAGCTTGATACAAGAAAATGTTTATTGCCAGTTTAGAGTTTTATTATTTTTTTTAGTGCAAAAAAGGTCAAACAATGATTTAATGCATTAATTTGCACGATTTTTCCCTAATAATAAATATTATTCAAACTATTTTACATAAAATAAGATTATATTTATTGTCATGATTAAATCTGGTAAAATATAAGGGTTAAAGTAATTAGCCCAAAAGTTACAATTTAAGTGTAGAACGGTCAAGTTAATTTGCACTGTTCCTCAGGAAGATGCACACTGACCCCAATTTTCTTTGTGATTTTGAGTCATGCTTTATGAGTTGTTAACGAGGCCGAGTCTAATTATTTCTACCCTAGATATTTTAATAAATTTTCTGGAATGAATTTTTACTATTATTTTAAGATAAAAAATCAAATGTTTACCATCCCGATTTCTTAGGGGGCCATCTCAAAAGTTGTCAAATTTTACTATTGGACCCTATGGGAATTTGTTGGAAAAGAACGCCAAATTATCACATTTTTCTCATATTTTTTGTATTTCTGCCCTAGGGATTTCCTTTTTAGTGAAAGACATGAAAATTATTGTAAAAAGTCACCAAATTGTGAAATTTCAGAAAAAGTTGACCATCTGGTTTGGTCTAGGAATTATTACAAAGTTTTTTTTCTATGCCCAATACCTCTTAATTTGCCATATTTCGGCATACATTTTGTATATATCGGCACAGGTGAATTATTTTGAAAAATACCAATGTTTAGATTGCTGGAATGTTTCTTCTAATGTTCTGTCAACAATTTTTAATAAAATGTCCATGGACGTCTTGCATACTCTTGACGAGTCATGCGTCATTCTTCAGTGTCATGCATTGCTTACAGAACCGAAAACATTCACGTCGTGAAAGCCATTTCAGCGTTTAGTCCTAATTATTGTCTTAAAAGCACATTTTAAGACCAATGAACATTACAGATAATGTGAAATAATGTTAATTTTGTATCAAAATTATAATATTAGGATAGGTGTTATGTTGCACCTACGACTACATGAAACTAAAAACCAACGCAAAGTCAAACGGACTCGAATTAGACTCAGTCTCGTTAAAACATACCTTAAAATAAATTTCCTACTTTCCTATTTTATACGATAGAAAGGGTATTTATTTAGTCCTGCAGTTCTACGAATTTTATGCGTAATAATTTAATTTTTATAATTATTATTTTTTGTTCTTAAAATAAAAAAAAAATTTCCTCATTGGATTGGTTAATATTGCATAAATAATGCTATGTTAAGTACTGCATTTCTATGAATTTAAGTCCACATGTACTTCAATACTAGTGCTGAATTTTCTGAGAATTTGGTTCTAGTTGAGTAAGAGCTCCATTCACTCTGTATTTTTCAGCAGCTGTGTGGACGTGACGCTCAGTAACTAATGAGTTAGGCGTGGTGCATTTTGTAAATAGGCTCATCCAAAGGACAAATCATCAATATAGTTTCTGTTACAAAAACAACAAATTACGGCAACATTTGGAGATGAATTTGGAAACCTGGAACGCTGAATTGTCTGAGCTTTTGATTGGAAATAACATTGTCTTAGTTCTCTATCTTATCGTTGGAGTTTTCGGAAATGGTCTTGTTCTTTTCATCTACGTTGTAGGAATGACTAAAAAGAACGATGATCGCTACTTTATTCCATCCCTAGCGGTCATTGATGCTTGTGCGTGTGTCATTGGATCTTCGTACGCACTGGCCCTAAATCTCCTGCCCGTTAGATTTCCCGGAGATTTTCTCTGTCGCATTTTATGGTTCCTCAGTCAAGCTTCTACAGTGTCTGGAGGGACCCTACTCCTGGTCATTGCAATCCATCGCTACCTGAAGGTGTGTCGTCCGTTCTCGAATGCTTGGACTTTGAGGATCAAAAGACTAGTTATTTTGGGAACAGTAACTGTTGCTACACTTTTATTAATTCCTACAATTTTCTTGTATGGAGAGATAGAAGTTGTTAATGATCGCTACAATGACAACAATATTACTTTGGTAGGACACAGATGTGGGGATATTTGGGAGCCATGGGCGCTTTTAGGATACAATGTGTTTTTGTTTGTCTTTGCCGTCTCTGGGATAGCCATTATTACACTTTGTTACATCTCTATCGCGAAAACCATCTACAGTAAAGTCATGATCTACCATAAGTCGTTGAGACGAATGAAAACTATTTCTAAACCTGAACTCTCAGTCTCAACCGTCTCTGACATAAAACAGAAAAGTAAAAGTGTCGAACTTTGTAATAATCTTCGATATGAAGGAAATGGAGAGTTCCACAAAAATTCAATCGAACACGACCAAGAAAATAATGACAAGTTTCAGAATACTTGCAAAAAGAAAAGTCAGATCACAAGAAGAGAAGGTCTCAGGACATTCTGTTGAATGCAAACATTCCAGCGATGAAGTACCACTTCACACATTACAGATACTCGTACATGTTTATGACAATAACCATTGTGTTTGTGATCGCTTACTTGCCCCGGATCATCATCATGCTGCTAGAGTCTATATTTGGGATAGAGTTTTGGAACAAACCGGACTCTGTTATAATAGGGTTGATGTTTTTGTACAGACTGTACATTCTTAATCACGTGGTCAACCCTTTTATTTATGGTTTCTTTGATACCAGATTTCGACATGAAGTAAAACTTTTGCTTTGCAGACAAGGGCAGAGGTCTCTTCAGAATTTTATACCCAATGTCTGAAAGGTGCATGAAAACCTGCAAATAGAATTTTTTCCTAATTATTTAACTTTTTGAAATCATAAGCAGAGTTGGTTTGTTTGTGGTGAAATAAAGGAACTGGAAAGAAATGGAAAATAGAGTTTTTCTACAGATACATGTACTTGTATATCATTGTAATTTTTTGCTGCTTGTATACTTCCTGGTACAAATTTTCAAACTTGGTTTGTAGAATAGATTCGTCTCATTCCTGGGGCAATTTTTCACTATTTATTTTATATTGGCGCCTCAGTTTGTTTGTCCTCTCCAGACCCAGGATAATAAAATGGGTCGGTAGGTAGGTGACAAAATTAATTATTTTTCCCCAGAAAATTTCAACATCAATGCTGAGTTTTCAAAATCTATATGCATAAAAATGCATTAAAAAATACTTGCTTCCTGGAAGTTGAAAAAAGTTTGGAGTCGGTCCATTTTTAGCCAGTCAGTCGGAGAGGGCAGCCAAACAATTGTTTGAAGAAGGCCTTGAGTAGCAATTTTTTTGGTTTATTGTAAGTTTTATTACAGTCAATTAGTTGTGTTAATTACGAAAGAAAATAAAAGCAGAATTTATAGTCTTCGTGTTTTTATAGGGGAATTGAAGCATTCATGCATTCCCTTCAAGGCTGAAAAATAATCATAATTATTTTTCAACCTTAAAAGGGGTGCATTAACAATTATTTTTTAGCCTTGAAAGGGATGCATTAACACTTCGATTCCCGGTACTCTCTACATGAAGACATTTTTCGATGTAATGCAAACTGGATCAACAAATACATTTATTTGCAGCAAAACAAACCAGCAAATAAGACTTATTCTTGCACTCCAGTAGTTTCCCCGGTGCATTTAAATACTACAGTCCAAGATTGTTTTTAATACTGATAACATCACAATATCTGCAGATTTTGCAATAATTTGATAATGAAGTTCAAATAAACCAATTTTACTGCGCAATAAGAGCCCTCTAGGATCACCTTTTTGAACTTTTTATTTAAATAACCTCTGTAACGAGGACAATACCAAAACTTTTAAATTTTTTGTTCGGATTGGAAATGTTTTAACGATGATGTTCAATAACTTGATACTGCCATAAAAAGCTTTTCACAAGAGTCATCTTTCAGAACAAATAATGTTGCAACACATATAAAATAGGCCTGATAGCTTAAACTGCGTTTGTATAGAGAACAATACTAAAACGTTTAAACATTTTGGTCGGACATTGCAAAATATTTTGATAAAGAAGTTCAAATCAAGGTTATAATTTAAATCTGAACAAAACAGCAAAGAATACATCGTACTTCTCTAAATCACATTTTACTGCACATTGCTCAAATCGCTAGGATCACCTTTGATGTTGCAAATTTAGTATAATTTAGGTCCCTCTACTAAGTTTACAAAACTCCTGTCCCCTGCTTTTATAAGGGTCTGACATCCCAGAGTACAGACAATTCCAAATGAATATTTCAGAATCTTCCGAGTTAGACAGGTGATATGATTAGATGACTCTTATCCGTTTTCTTTCGCCCTCGAACGATATATGTCGGACGTAAAATTTTTGAAATTTTCATCCCCAGTACCCACGGATTTTTGCAAACAGTATGCATATTGCATTTAGTACTTATACCGGTATATAAATATTTTTAAAAAGGAGATTCCATACTATTCTAGTTGAAGAGACTAGTTTACGTATAAGTGTATATCATTCTAAGATACATAAACATGTATTAACCTAAATTAAATAAAACATCCCCCCTTCTTAAAACATTTTGCATTAACAATCTTTCTCTTTTATCTGTACTTATACCTGTACATGTAATATAGATCAAAGAAATCCAAAGGAAGTTTTTTTTTAAATTATGTGAAATATCGATAATTCCAGAGACTGACATAACAAAAAAAAAAATAAAAAAATAAATAAATAAATAATAAAAAGGTAAAATGGAGTGCCAAAAATCTTTAAATAGCAGTAAAATGTTGCTGCTTTCTGTGTTGCCTACAACCCGCATGAACAATAAGAATTTTAGTAAATTCTGCCGAAATCCTTGGTTATTATATAATACATGGCCAAATTTACTCATTCTTTTATATATATCTATATAAACAAAAAGTCGACACAAGCTCAAATAGAGATTCAATAGATAATATCACAAACAAATCCAGTAAGTTGTTGAATGGCGATTAGGGTTATTTTGGTCGAAGGCTAGAGTAGCTAGTTGCAAATAGATGCCCAATAGATAATACATGATGATATCACAGTTAGACAAGTCCAGGTAGGAGTGTTACATGAAGATTATTTTGGTGGTTCGGCTGGAGTCGGTGCGTTTTCTCCACTAGACTTCTCTTCAGCAGGTGGAGCAGCAACGATTTTTCGATGCAAAAACATCCACATGACCTTTTTAAATGAAAGGGACCCCAATCCTCCGCCATCAAACTTCATTGCTGGAGTGTCTAAAATTTTGACTAGTTCCCATCCAAAAGTTCCAAGCTGGTCAAGAACTGGTTCCCAAGCCGGGTTGAAATGCGCTGTAGTGGAACCAATTCCACCCATCACCATTTTACCGGGGGCGCTATATTCTACCATTGTAGCCTCGTACACAGGCGTGTTATCATTAAGTTTCGATTGCTCTTTTTCGAAAAAGAATACGCAGTTCTGGTTGATTGTTATTTTGGACGTAAAGAACCCATCCCGGAAACCGCTATTGTTTTGGTCCATGAAGACGTCCACTAGTTTCCAACCTGTCCCAAGGTACTGTGATGTCACACCTACCCAGTCCATCTCGACGATCCATTTTCCTCCTAACGCCATGGCCATTGTCCAGGTGATTTTCATTGGAATTGTAACACATTGGTATACATATCGGGTTGACGAGGGGTTTCTGGGTATCTCAAAGAAGATATCCACTCCTAGAACTAAAGACAGGGGAAATTATATAATTAATAATTGTAAATAATGAAACAAAAACAGCTATCTATCTATCTATCTATCTATCTATCTATCTATCTATCTATCTATCTATCTATCTATCTATCTATCTATCTATCTATGATATTAATATATATATATATATATATATATATATATATATATATATATATATATATATATATATATATATATATATATATATATATATATATATATATATACTTTTCAACAAGTTACAGTATATGGTCCAAATTTTCTGTACAAGTGTATTAAAAAAGAAAAATATTTGTTTGTTGTCTGTTGGATGTCCTTCAAAATATTTGAAATGATAAAAATAAAGAAAGAAAAATAAAACTTACTCATGTCTGGACTCTGTCCAAAGAAGCATACGTTCATAGCACCTTGGCCACCAAAGGCCCCTGCAGCGGCGCTTGTTGCTCCGGGTTGCTTCACATTTTGAGAGTTAAACCCCGTTATTTCAACACAAACAAGCCTGGCCCCGTTTGCAGCCTCGTTCATTATTGTTTGAAAAATATGATTGGCGTCAGCAGTAATTTTTGCATCACCCAATCTAAACACTCCGTATGTAAAGACTTTCGAGGGTAAATAAGATTTTACGACTTTGAGGGACCATTGCTGGGGTAATTCGTCCTCGGGCAGTTTCCTACAGATTCCTTGATACTTGTGTGTTTGCTTGACGTTAGCTGTAACAAAGCCACTGACTGTGAGCGACGCCGGAACTACCGAGAAGGTCAACAAACGGAATCCAAGGTCATACAAAGACCCCAAAGTGACGCTGTAAACCTTTTCGTCCAAGGTCATTAACGGCATGCCTGCGGTAGGCATAAATCCAAGGTTAGACTGTTCCACGTAAGCAATCGCAAAGTTTTCCATCCGATATTCACATGGGGGGCCGTGATAAGGGGGTTGTGGGGGTATCCCAGCAATCGTCTTGGACTGTGAACTTCCGCCACAACCCATATCTGAGTATATTCTGAAAAATAACAAATATTTAACCTCCTTTATTTTAAGAGGAAAACATGCTAATTTAAAAATATCATATGTGAACGATGAAAGATTTTAGTTTTGAAGGACTTGAGTTCTGAAAGATACTTGCATTTTTAATCAAAACAGAAAGAACTGTTTATTGTTTTCTTTTTTCCATTTCGTAGTTAATATACTTGCATTTTTAACCAAAATCGAAGAAATTGTATTCTTTTTTCATTTTGTAGTTAATGCATATAAAATAATGTGTCGATCTTTTCTATAAACATTTTTATGATAGATCACCAAGTGGTCATGCAGGGCAAAAACCCATACCAGTTGACCTACTCTCCCATACATTTCTACGCAGTTTTTGCACTCAACTGATATTTAAATGGTGGATATATGAAGTAAAATGTTAAGATAAAGTCTGCGGTTCGTTTCGAAGTACAATTATCTATAAATCATCATGTAGGGCACTACAAAACGACCGACCCTCCATCCGGTATCTTTTAAAGTCAAACCCACCAAAAAGCTCGCAAATACTTTTCAATCAGATGCAAAAATCAAACTTACCTTTTTGCTTACTCCCGATAACTATACTGATCGACTATAGTCAATTAAATGTCCGTAACTTTACAAGATCAATGACCAATATAGAACAAGGGAGTTTTGCAATATGCAAAGAGTTTAAAATGATAACATGCTTCTACGTAATATTCATCCTTGCATTTTGCAATATATTTTGTAGGCGAAATAGTCCAGTAAGTTTTCAGTTTTAATGATTTATACCGGGAGCCTTTGTTTGACAGTTGCTCGTGGATTCCATCGATAGCTGAACTAGCAGCCGTTTGTCTCTCAAGTGCACTATTCATATATTTTTTTGCTCTATTTCGCATGATCAACAGTAGTAAATTTTGCAATATTCCAGCGAAAATGTGATATACCTGTTCAAGGATCGTAAGCCGGTCAATTAAAACAACAACACAGAATTGATCGGAAAAAAAACTCCACAGAATCAATTACCGGTATTTCAAAGATGGGACATTTTGCAATAAACTGAAACTCAGCCTATAAATCCGAGAGGAAAAAAACCTTCATTTCTCTCGATATTTCTAGAGTTTACTAAAAACTGTTATTTAAAAAAGATAAATGGGAAAGCACATGTATATTATAGTGAAACGAATCATCAAGTAATAAAATCCTGTATTTGAATAATTTGAGATTATACTTTTAAGACTTTATTATCTTTAATTAAAAACTGAAATCCTAAAATCTAAATGCCACGGATAGTATCATACCCCACCCCACCCCACAAACGATTGTGTAATATAGATAATTACTTTTCTCAGAACATACAAATAATTCCATCCCAAAGAGGAAGTTACAATAAAGCCCTTTTTGCCTCTTTGTTAAAATTTAAGTTTCTGCATGTGATGCTCTGAAATCTGCATTAGGGAATTAAAATAAAGGAGTTACACAGTAACAATTAATAACCTAATAAGCTATACATATTAAGAATTCAGCTTTCAACATTATTAATAAGAAGCATTTAGGGGACTCGAAGAATGTGAGAATGATATTATAATATTAAAAGTTTTCGATTTTATGAATTCAATTTAAAAGAAGGAAGGAAAGAGATGCTACAAGGTTACTGTACCAAGGACGTCAATTCTTGGGCGTGGACACAGATTCGAAGTCAATATTTTCTCAATTTTCTGTATAATATCATGACTTATATGTTGAAATATATAGCATTTTACACGGAAATATAATAAAAGTGTGAACAAAAACTTCTTTACATATAATATATACTATAATCAATTCGATTTCAAATAGATTAATATTCAATAAATTATTTTATGTTATTATACTTTCATGTAAATTGGTTGAATCAGATTCGTCTATGGCCGTAGGAGCCGGGGGATGCCTCCCGAATTATTTTGCTGGTATAAAGTATACTATAGAAAACGTAGTTGCTCTATATGCTTGTGTACTCTCGATAACGTCTGATGACTTCTTTTAATTTTGCGTGTCAAGGATTATTTGCTTTGTAGTGCCCCCTCCATCTGAAAATGTTTGGTTGTGCCCCCCCCCCCCCCCTTCCCAGCTGAATCTGCGTTCTACGGGCCTGTCGTCGAGAAACATTTGTTAGAAACATTATTACCCTTTGAATGATGAAATCATGTCCTCCAACGTAGCAACAATAAACATTGCTTGACGACGGGTGATATTCCAAAAGAAGAAAGGCGAAGAAAGCATGCAAAATGTCTTTAGCTCAAATGTATAAAAATCAAATTGAACTTACTAAAGTATTTTGTTCTAATTATTAAAAGGTATGAAATCAAAATAAATCTTGTTTGTGATATGACTCTTGAATGATTGGACTTCAAATATTTATCTGAAAGATGTAAATTGTCTGTCATAGTAAAACAAAAATTGCATAATTTTAAACATACTTTGAACCACTAATATAGAAAAATTGTGTTGAAATATAAAGAAATATTTGATGTGTACATACTATTTCATAGACAATAATTTAAGCACTTGAATTGAATTGAACATATTTTATTGACAAAGAGTCAAAAGGATTAGACACAAGTTCAAAAACTTAGATAGTCTTCTCCTAATACAACATTTTGTAAAATTGCCAAAATAAAATACATGTATATATATGGTCTACTACATATACATAGTAGTAATAGAAAGAAAATAAGATCTTTAAATGTACAAATATATATTTACAATGGGAAAAAAATTAAGCTTTTTTTGAAAAACGACCACATTCATTTAGAAAAGTTTGAATAATCTTAAAAAGTTCAGCATTTTGTTCAATAGTAAGAGAATCATCACCCCATAGCAATAAATGTACATCTATATCATATAAATTATTAAATGACAGTAGCTTATTCATTAAGGAATTCCTTGCATTTGCATAATTTTTACAAGCAAAAAAACAGATGGTATGCATCTTCTAGTAGTCCACATGAACAATTTGGACTAGTTATTAAGGTACAACGATATATAAGTCAGAGTTTAAAATACAATGGTGTCTCAGTCTTGTATGAATTATGTTCAAAAACCTTTTTCCATATGAAAAATATTTCTGAGGTTTTACAATATTCTTGTGCAGACAGTTCTTAAAATTTTTAATAGAAGTTGCCTCCCTTGCATTAAGACTAAGGGAATTCCACTTTCTGACAGTATCAGGAATAAATGATTTGTTAAGTAATTCTAATCTGTATTTTGGCAAAGAATAGTTTAAGGAATTCCTAATAGTATATCCTGAAATATTGCCTCTTGTGTCAGGTACTAAATTTTGTATATAACTAGGTACTAAATTATTGTGCATTTTATACATTGTTATTAGTTTTGCTCTGTTTCTTCTGTATTCCAAAGGTTCCCAACCTGTTTCCAAATATAATGAATTTCTTGAAGCAATAATTGTAAGCCCAGTAACTATTCTTGCAGCAAATAACTGAACTTTTTCAAGATTTTCAATGTCTGCCTTTGTGCAGCCAAACCAAACTTCAACAGCATATTCTAGTTGAGGCCAGTCACATTGTAGGATTAAATTATTAAGGATTTCTAAATCTGCATACTTATAATTCCAAATTTTTCGTTTATATGCCGCATTAACATTAGTATTATGATAAATATTGATGTAAGTTGCTCGATGATCACTAAGTGTATTACTAACTTTTAAAGTTCCAGAATCATGTACATGTATACAAAAAGCACTTGTGATATTGTTGCAAATTCTAGAGATTTTTCATTAAGTAATCATTAATGTTAACCGAAATAACAAAGAAAAATTGTGTAATAATGGAGATATAGTTTCTCAGTTTCTATTTTGTCGAACTATAGGCATTTTTCTCGGTTTGTTTGTCCATTTTATTGACTGCGAGAATTTATGTGAGCAAGGCTCAATGTTATGTATAGGAGAATATCTAGTAGAAATATTTTTCTAATATAAATACTTATAAATTTGAGAACCTTATGTCCACCACAGATGTAGACTCCTTGATAAAGCTGTCTTTGTTTGTTAAAACGATATTGGCATGTTTTCAGTAATAATCTTCTTTTTTATATATACTACTCTTCCTTACTTGACCTGATATTCTGTATATATGTAAACGTGTTCATGTACCTCATGTACCATTGTATGGTTTGAGAGTAATAAACAAACAAAACTCTAAAGTGCGATGGGACTCCGAAACCCGATGGTCACGCTAAAGTTCGATGGTCTGCGCCAAACCCCGATGGTTTCACAAGCCAAACTCCGATGGTGTGGAAAAACAATTCATGTTTATAAAGTCATAGTACTACTACGCCGAACTGAGATGCCGCGCCGCGCCAAGGTCTGATGTTTTCAAATGATACAAATGAATATTAAATATTTGATCACGGAATTGAAATGATTCACTAGAATAAGCCAAATTTTAATTGTACTACTAGTCCTTATTTCTCGAGTGGGTGCAAGGCTAACTGCGCACTACCGGACTTTGACGTGTCAGACCATCGCACTTTAGCGCAGTGTGTCTCGTAGGAAACGAACCATCGGGGTTTGGCGCAGACCATCAGACTTTGGCGAGACCATCGAATTTGGAGACTTACATATGTATTTGTTTAAAAAATCCAGTATAATATGATAAACATGGCATGTAGTTGAGGGTAACATTGAGAATGTTCACCCTTCGTAAACACTTGTCAATCTCGGTTGACCCTTTGTTGACAATGGTTTTTTTTTGGATTTTCAATGTTACCCTCAACTATATGGTATCACAGTAAGTTAATTCCTGGTTAAGTTTCAAATATATGTTGCATGTCACTTATTCTGGTGGGTCAGTTGGAGTAGGTGCTGCATTTGCTCCACTAGATGATGAGTGCTCTGTAGCAGACGAGACAGCAACAATTTTTCGATGAAAAAACATCCACATGATCTTTTTGAAGGTAAGTGACCCGAACAAACCAATGTTGTCAAACTTCTGTGCCGGAGTGTCT